AGAGAGGTCAACTAAGTAAGTGCTGTGGAGAGGCCAAAGGAGGCTGGGAGTGAAGAGCTCTCAGATGGCAGCAGCCAGGCTGCTGGGGAGCTTTAACAGCAGTGCAGGAGAGTGCAGAGCCCCAAAAGGGGAGGGGCATCTGAGGAAAGCCTCCAGGGGTGCATGAGATTCAAGCTTCTCAGTCTTTCCCATGAGAGACAGATAACAGACAGGCCTTACAAGTGGCAGTGAGCATTTCCACCAGAGGATTTGGTAAGTGGCAAAGTCCAGAGTATTGAGAGAACAGAAAATAGGTTAAATTCTGAATCAGGCAGGAAGCTCATCTGGCTGTTAATACTGAAGCTCAGGCAACACAGACATGTATTCTTTTACTTAGGGATGTCCAGTGGTAGCCAGGGATGGTGATGCACATCTATAATCTCAGGACTCTGGGAGGCTGAGGCAGGAGGATTTCATGTTTGAGCCCAGCCTGAGTGACTCAGGGATTTAGTGAGACTCTCTCTCAAAATAAAAAGTAAGGAATGGGCTGGGGATATAGCTCAGTTTGAAGGCCCTGTGATCAATTTCCAGTATATAAAAAAAAACTGTCCAGTAGTGAGCAGTCTTCAGATAGTGTGATGACTTCACAATCATCAGTAACTAGATGCCTCCTATTTTTTTGTGGTAGTAGGGATTTAACTCAGGCATTCACACTGAGCTGTATTCCCAGCCCTTTTTTATTTTTTATTTTGAGGGGGGCAGGTCTCACTAAGTCACTGAGTTGTACAGACTGAACTTGAATTTGAAATCCCCCTGCCTCAGCCTCTCAGAGTTCTGGGATTACAGACATTCACCACCATGCCCAGCTCCTCCTACCCTTCTTTTTCAAATTTTATTAATACATGTTTGTGGTGCATCACAATACATTCCTTGTGGATAGTTAGTACATGTACTAACACATCTTATTCCTTTTTCATCCCCTTCTTCTCCCCTCCCTCCCCTGCCCTCCATCTCTTGATCTTGTCTCTTTTGCAAAAGATCTATCTCCCTGTTTCCTATTATCTATATTTTATTTTGTTCTTTATTTATATTTTGGGTTTCTTATATAAGAAAAATCATGTGATATTTAAGCTTGTGTGTCAGATTTATTTCACTTAACTTTATTGTGTGGAATTGCATCCATTTTCCTACAAGTGACTCAAGCTTATCCTTTTTTTTTAGTACTGGGGATCGAACTCAGGACCTTGCACTTGCAAGGCAGGTGGCAGCACCACTGAGCTAAATCCCTGGCCCAAGCTTATCCTTCTTTATGGCAGAGTAGTACTCTGTTGTATATAAATATCACATGTTCCTTATCCATTCATCTGTTGATGGACATATAGATCACTTCCTCAATTTAGCTGCTATTAATTGTGCTGCTATAAATATTGGTATGCATGTAATACGGTTACTTGAACTCTTTCAGGAAAATACTTAGAAGGGGAATAGCTGAGTCAGATAGGATTTCTATTTTAAGTTTTTTAAGGAATATCCATACTGATTTCCATAGTATTGTACTAGTTTACATTTCTACCAACAATGTAGAATCCTCGCCAGCATTTGTTATTACTTGATTTCTTTTTTTTTTTTTCCTTCTCCTACTTTATATTTATTTTTTCCCCCCATTAACTTTATTGGTACATTTTAGGTATAAAATACAGTTACATTCATCTT